ATGAAATACTGAACGCTTGTTCTACATACGACTATATGATTTGTTTATGTGTCAAGCCCGTTTGTTCTTTTCGATTTTCTTAGGTTTCTTAATCTAAAATAATGACACAAGGTACACGCACAACTGTACAGTAACCGTGGGAAAAATAATGCCATTAATTTCCCTTTAACGGCAGACCCTTAATCTTGTTCAAAACGATGAAAAATTCTCCATAGCATGATAAAACCATTGTTAAAGATTCCTTTTCAGTTCACTGTAATATCGAAAAATGTTAATATCAGGCAATGAAATATTGCCCAATTAAGGCTATCGAGTCTGGAATTTCGAAATTTTCATAATCTGCACTCACTAAAACCGCGTGAAGTACTATCGACCAAGCAATTACAATAACAAGCCATATTAAAATATCTCTTTTCCAAGCATCACGAAACTCGACACCTGTTATATACCAGTCTGCAGGCTTTTCATTTTTTCTATAAAATCTCCATTATGGCAATTAACCTACAAATCATGCATCGACACCAGCATCACCGTAACGTTTCCTGTTGCACACTTACTATACATGTACTATCTTACGATCAATCCAATTTTGCGAATTAACCAATTAAACTCTTATTTCGCCACTCATTGGTCACGCATGCGCAGGTGCAATAAAGCGCGCACTCACGCGACTCAAACACGTGTGTGTCCGCAATCAGCAAGATCAAGGGGAGCTGGTTTCCAAGCGTTTTCATATGAGTTCTCCTTTTTCCTTTGCCCCGTTCGATAATATACACACGTATGCCAGAATATTTGAGAGGCTTAATTATTGCCTTAGACCCGTTACGATTGCTCGTGATTTAGGGTGTGGGCTCTGATAAAGATCTTGATTATTTTCGCGAATGTCCGCTCGATAGTGAGTCGCACGAAACGGTCTATTTTCAGATAAGCGTTATTTAATAATACGCTCGTGAAAAAATTTCGACTGGCACCGTAGCTAATGCCCGCGCATATACTCGATATTCCGTTTCGAGTGTTATCTGTCGACTTCTTTTCCTCTACTTTCGGATTTAATTTATTAGCCGTGATAAAGAATCGATATGTATCTGATTGAATACAAAAAGAAATGTGCATAATCATTCGTGCAACTATACTGTTGAAAGCTCGTAAATAGCAAAGAATTTTTGTTTTTCAGCATACTGAATTAATCGCTTGTATCTGTAGTTTTCTTTTCTCACTAGTCGGATGAATCTGTCTTAAAGAAGAACAGAGAACCACAAATATTTAAACAGTATCAATCGTAGTTACTAAGGTTTCTTTGAAAAATTCAATTCACTCTTGTCAAAATTCAATTTTGTCTGAATTATTTCTATGTATTCAGGGCATTTTCATTGATATAAAGGTTAGAAGAAGACTGAGCTCTTATAAACCCCAAAAGCACAGGATAAGGGTAATTTATCATTTCCTTTTTTATTTAAAAGTTAAATCGCTTAAACTTTATCTTTATAAAACACTCACAATCTTGCATCAATAGAATATCTAAATCGAATGGAAATTTTTTAAGAGAAAAACATAACAAACGAATCAAAACATAGCCATGTATAATCCAGTTTTGGAATATGTTAATGACTTGTTGCATATTGCTATATTGCTAAAAATTTGTAAATAGTGTTGACTAAAAACGATTCAAATACTTGGGGAGCATTAAGTCTGAGATACGATATCCAAGGTTTTCATAGGAATTATGTAGGTCATACTGATGTCAGATCTCTTAGCAAGCAATCAATCCCATTCGATTCAGTAGAATGAACATACTCGGGTAGCATCGCACGGTACAATGTCAGGTGTTCAGCTCATGGTCACGATTGCAGTGATAGTCTAATGGTTAACGATTGAGAAACTTCAATGAGTATCTAATAATTGTACATCTAAAGCAATTTCAAGATCCACTTTTCTGGCTCGGATAAGGTTATCATCTGAATGTCGCTTTTTTCTGTTCTATTACATTTAAAATAATTATCTTATTATCATACAATTTTTTAATCAATTCGTGTACACACTAAGTTTATTAATATTTCAAAAGCGGAGAAGCTTATTTCGCAAGCTCACTGGCACGCTAACCAAGACAACACAAGAACAAGCCGTTAGGGCATCAACCGCACGTCCAGAAATAAAGAAGAAAAGGGCATTCGGCAACCGCGCTCGCATGTACACGATGCGCGGACCAATTCGCGCACAGCTCGTAAAAATCGTAATTGCCACGCGAGCAAGTTAGAGGAAAGAGGAAACGAAAGAAATGAGAATTACTTGCGAGCGCATTACATTGTGCAACGTTGTGCCCGGGCGCGCGTGCTGTGCGATTATGCTAATTTTAATTGGGCGGCAATTTCGCAAAGTGTGCCGCGACAGGTGACCCGAATTGTTCGTCTGCGATTAGGTGAATTGGTGGAAAGCCACCCACGCGTGCCTTTAGTCTTATTGGCCGGGTAACAGATAAAGGTCGAGTTCTGGTCAAAGTTTCATAATGTCTTTACTTTGTGACTGGAATGATTAGCGAATACGATTCAAGTTGTTTCCTTATTGATCGGTAATTTGAATATAGAACGGCAAACGTTTTATATTGATTTTATAAAGCATACCGGTAGAGGATAAATCTACAGATAATATATCATAAATTTATCATTTAAAAGCGAACATAATCTCTTTTGCATATAAATAACTGATCTTATTATTTTGGCTCAATGAATCAAAACTAGAGCCTTGACTTTGTATACGTATCATACAAATCAACTGGCTTCGTATTAGTTTAAATGTACAGAGTGATTACGTTAATATTGTCAAAGTTATTAATATTTTGTTAATATTAATAGGTTGCTTAACTTCATATAAAAATACATGGATACATTGGAGCAACGACATACGTAGTCAAGACAACAATTGTCGTACATAAATAAGACACCTAAACGAAAAATAATTACAAAGTACGGCAGTGGCAACAGATAAAGATACGGTTCGACAACGGTCAAAAACACAGTGCAAACAGCGTCTTAGGTGAAAACAAGGCCAGCTAGCCAGCTTAATTCCGAAATTCCAGAGCGCAAATAGAACTGTACTGGTATAGAAGGCGCGCCAGCCCGACGAAACGAAAACAATGACCTGTCATAGAGAGCCGCTCTTTCGTAATACCGCTTTGGCTTTTTTGAAACCGACGAAAGTGCCTTAGAATTATAAGCAGAAAATTGGAGGTCTTTTTCGCCAGTATGTTCGTAAAAGTCCTTGAACGAAAGAGAGTAGAAAAATGCCGACATTATTCGCACGGAAAAATGCATCCTGTGCCGTTTTACAACAGGTTACTGTCGTCGACCTTTCACGCTGCCCGATGAACTTATCGATTTTACGTACAATCTTGGACTGCATTCTTTTGACGAACGGCCGCACCTTCGGCGAGTTTTCATAATAATTAATTGACCGTTCGATCGACTTTTTTCTTTTTTCGCGCTGCGTTGTCGTTTGTCATTGTTGTCATCAAGCTGGAATGCATCTAGTCAATGAATCAGCGATTAATACTCGTATATTTAAGGCATAATAATTTCGTCCGCGTCAATTTCACAATGCCCATGTCAATAGTGACCGAAGGTGCCACTCACACGTAGCTTTTTCTTTGATAAATCGGTCCGGGAAAAAAATCCCTTTTCGTCTCTTTGCAACGACAGACGCGTACAATAGTGTCGTTAAAAAAGATCAGCTCAATAACTCGACGTTTAACTCGGGGAACGGCAAGCCGCTCCGAATAAAAGCCCTGAGACTTTTACAGCAGTTTGATAAGGATCGTTTATTTCACGCGCGACAGACATGAACGTGCCGAAAGTCGATTGATTTATGCTGTCTTCGGGAATTCGCGCTCGGGAGAAAACGAGTTTCCGCGTTGCAGGTAGTTTCTGAATTAACCGTTCTTGCACCGGTTTTTTCACTCCGGCTACTTTTATAATGATGAATACATTGCGAAAAATCATCGTGGCTACTCTCTTTTGACTTTACGGCAATTTATACGTCACTAATTGCGAGTCTCGTTGGCAAGCCCTCGAGGGACGATGATCGATTATTCTCTTATCTGTTCGAACTTAAAATTCATTGACCGATGAAAGCTGCTGCATCCACGCGATAGCAGAACGCAATAGAATGAACGAGCTCGGTTAGGCGCATTTGCGCACCAGCAGGCGCGAATTCGCCGGGCTTTTCGCTCTCCCATTGTTCTTTTCAATGTAGGCTGTAGGCTGCCTGCGTGCACCTTCTCTCTATCTCTCGCGTGACCCACACTCATACACAACCGCAATTGCGAAATATGGCGTGCAGGCATCACTTTTTCGATGGATGATTGAAGCTGCGTGGGGATCGCGTCGAGTCCTGTAGATAAAAGCTCGGTTGCGCAACGCTCTAACGAGGAGCGCTGCCTAAGATTCTACTTTTTTTTTCACGGAGAAATAATTGGCCGAGGGCAAGTTTGGTATGTCGCTCCGCTGTTCCAGCGATAATTTAAATATTCCGCATATCAAAGTGTTTACCTCTGTGACTGCGATATAATCTCTTTTTTTCTTTTGAATGAAACGCCGAGATACTTTGAATATTTGATGGGAATGGTTTGAGTCGTGTGAGAATTAGAACTTTTTGTCAAAATGTTTCAATTTTACCAAGAAAAGCATTAACAAACGTTTATTTTGGTTATTTGAGAATAGAACAAAGCCACATGTCGTTATGAGACTCAATCCCAACTCTCCAAAACTACGTTTTAGTTTAAGCGACTAACGCTACAAAGAATAAAAAAGGCTGATTGAGATGCCAAGGAGGCTTGAAGAATATCTTACGAAAACACAAAGTAGTGGTACCGTAATGAAAATACAGTCGTGTGAAAACAATGGAAAAATTGAAAGGTGCGGTATAATGTCTAATGCAAGCAGAGAGAATTTTGTAGTTCCACGGGATTGCAAGTCACAGACATTTAAATAACAAACTGCTCCAATTACCTTACAAAGCCCCCGGTAAAACCACATCTTATTAGAATATGTAGCCGTCACCCCCAATGCCATTGTTGCGCTCGCGTGTACGCTGAGAAAAAGCTTGGCGATGCGTGCTCATTAGACCACCACCGCACCGCAGCAACTGTTGCAAAACTGCGCGCTCCCGATACGTAGCCCCCTGGAAAAACGTCAAAATTATTTATCGTTCGCGGTAATGACGTTGTAAAAGAGCGAGCCGATTTCGGTGCGCGTTGAGCAAGACAATGGATTTCTCGCGGACGCCGTCGCGCTTTTTAGGCAAGGCGTTTTGATTTTCTAATTGCACTGATACCGATAAGCCGTTGCTCAATCGCGCGAAGCCAAAGAAAATCACAATTATGTAAAAGCCAATAAAACCCACCTCGGCCGTAAATCTTCCGCGCATTGTCAGCTCGATAAGTTCTCGCTCACTGCTAATTAACGGCGACGCGCGCGCGAGAGCTCACGAGTTTTAATTGCGCCCACTCGCGCTTTCATAAAAGTGAAATCCTCGATTTACCCCGCAATCAAGATCGATTTAGTCGATTGTTCAACGCGCGCGCGTAAAAGCGTGAATTGAGCTATGACCGGGCGAAGACGAAAACGCCGCCAAAAAAAAATTTTTTTTCTCTTTCACTTGCGGCCGAACAAGCTTGAAAACAGGTGCGCGAGATCTGGTTCTTTCGTTTCTTTCTTTTTTTTTTTCTACCCGATTGAGATTGAGGCAATGACGCGTGACTTAGTTTCGGAAAATTAGCAAGTGGATTCGATAATCCAGTTGCGTGACACTGCCGGAATGCCGTTTAGACGTAATACATTATGTTGGAAGAGATAGGCCATGGAAGAAAGTGCAGTGACTCAATGTCGCGCGAAATTTTTTTATCACCGCCTCGTTCAGTGGAACTATTCAAGTGTTTATGTGGTAGAGTTTTAGTATTTATAGAGTTGAGATCGATGAGAAGTGTGTTGATACATTCAAGTGAGCGACAGGTTGATTATCACAAAATCGATTGATATAATTTAATTCTATAATTTTTGTTTGGAATTTTTATGAGTTAACATGTCTTTTTTCTTTTTTATTATATCTATTATTATATACTGCAACCTTGTACATCTGTAGGTTTTGCTATCTAGCTGGAAAAATGAGATAAAATAATAATAAGTAATTTCTTGAATTATTAGCATTGTGTCTAAAATGATGTCGGATAACAGCACTACATTGTAAGATGAATCAGTCATACTTTTGTTTCCAATTTCTATATTTCTAAGACAATTTCTACGTAACAGTCAATGCTTTTTAATTCGTGATCGGTAAATACATGTATCCCACCTATTAATCACATACTCAACTTGTTTTTAATTTCTTTTTTTAATAATTAATTTATATAAGCATTGTCTCTTCAGTTATCTTCATTGCCATGCAATAATTTTGATTTATCTACGTAACACAAATATTTCAGCACTTACGATTAGTCGATGATGGCTTTATTACTAAAAGCCGGCATTGAACGTCTAACCAATGAATGCATTGTTAAATATCATGTTACAATCGTATTCGATAGATTACTTAAGTGGTTTTTTTATTTAATCTTCTAATGTTGTCGCAATAAGTAATGAAAAATCCATGAGAAAACGCTATTTTTCGATCGGCAGCACCTTACAAACCTACCAAATCTAACCATAGGCGCAGGTGCGATTTTTCAGCAATTTGCGCGGCTGCACCTTCACACGCTCACTCTCTCTCTCTCTCTCTCTCTCTCTTTCTATATATATATATATATATATATGTATCCCGGGCTGCTTTGCACGTGAGCTTGAGCCGTTGAACGCCGCGCAGCATAAGATACACATATAGGCGTGTATACGCAAACACGTGACGTGCCTCACGTGTGACACTGGCGTACGTATGTACGTTCGCTCGCATTTTTCGCTTTGCCAGTTTCACGTGCAGCGGTCTCGTGAGCTTCATTGTGTTTGCGCACGCGCGTGTCATTGAACTGATTTACTTGGCCGCGACGAGATGGAATGCAGATTCGTTCTCCAAGAAGATCATCGCACGAGTGCAAATAATAAACGGCTCGAACGACATTAAATTCCATAACGGCAAGAGCGGAGCCGTGGGCATAAAAACAATTGTCGGGATCTCTTTCTCTCGCTCGGTATCGCGGGCACTGTTTATGGGCGAACGGCTAATTGCGCGAAATTATTTATCGGTCGTCCAATGCCTTACAGTTGGTGATGAAACCCGACCCGAGGGTGTGTTTTGTTTGACGCTGTCGGTGTGTTGTTTTCAAAGTGGAATTATTGCGAAATTCGACAGAGAGCGTTGCGGAGATCGTTGGGGAGTGGTTTTTTTAGACTAATAGTCGTGATTATGATCTTTATCGTGTTTGTTTTTTCTCGAATGCTACAGTGCAAACAATGATCGTCGCTGCTATTAACGAATTACTGTTCGTTAGGACTTTTGATTTAGCCGATATATGGATTTTTTTCTAAATTATCTACGCATTTCCGATAAGTATTAGCATTATACAACGCACTACGCTAAGCTCACGTAGCCGGGCACTAAAATTCCTGATTTATGAATCTAAGAATAAACACATACGGCGCTGCGCTGTAATAAAGTCTCATTCGAGGCCCGCAAGAAAAAAATGAAAACGAAAAAAATAGCCTAATCGTCCAATTGAATCTCGCGAGCGCCACGCGTGTCCAGTAGCGCATGCCGTGCCGTTACAAAACCGCGCGTCGGCTGTGAATTATTAAAAAAGGCCAAGGCATTCAACAATAACCTGGCAATTTGTTTCTACGTATGTGGGAGTTTCAAAAGAAAACGTATGATCTTTAAGAGCTCTTGCGGCAAAAGCGCGCGCGCTATAATCATTTCCATCTGGCCAGGATAGCCGCGCGCGCGCGCACTTTCATGTCGTTCAGATAGCCTAATCACAAAGCCTCTCCCGTACCCCTTCATTGTCGGTGCAAAATATCAATCGGTCGTTTCGCATTCCGCGCCGCTGTATTAGATCAAACGAGAGCGGCAGCGCGCATACCACCTCAAAAAAGAAAACCGCGACCCCCTCGGGGCTGGCGGAAAAAAGCGCAACTGCACGCCGAAAACCTACTCTACGCGTGGATAGATAGGTAGATATATGTACGCATGCGCGCTACACTCTTAATTAGTAAGCTAATCGTAGTAATGGCCGAAGCTTTCGAAACTCACTAACCATTTTCGGCTCTGCAATTTTTCTTCGCGCATTTTTCAATGCACGTGAAAGTTTTTGAGTTCGCCACTTCGAAGAATAAAAGTTGCTCGCTAATTTGCCGCACGCTTGTTAATTGACGCTGTTGCTAAACCACCTGAAACATCATCGACACGATAAATTCTTTTCAACTGCGGACGTCAATGAAGTTAGTAAATTACTTATAACCATTACGCTTAATGCCGCATCTTCGTGGATTATAGATGTGAAAACTGATTTAGAAACGAATAAATATCTCTGCGACCTCGAGGCAAACTTGCTCACTACTGCTCGTATGCCTTCGTGCCGAGGCAGTGTCTTACCTGAAGAAAGACTAACAGAAAGAAGAAACGAAAAAATTAGAGAGGTGCATTGTTAACATCACGGGTCGCTCCGCGGAGTCTCTCATTATATCGTCTGCGCAACAAAGGAGTGCCGCGCGATTCGAAGCACAATCACGCACTTGTAAGCGTGTGTAAGCGTGTTCGTCGATTTTTCTTCCACTCTCTCTCCATACCTCTCTCGGCGCGGCGACAAAATCGTACAAATGAGACGCGAAAAATCTCGCGGCGCGAGCGATTTATTTTATCGATCGCCGACAGAGATATGCATTGCGATACACGCGCGCGCGGAGAATGTCGGCGAGGGAGCTGTATACAGGCGACGTAACCTAAATTGACTGGATAAAAATTGCGCGACATTGTGCGTATGTCTGCTCGAACGGGAGAAATATCCATCTCGGTAGCGTGTCAACGGCTAAGCCCTGTGGCGGCATATCGAAACTTGCCGACAATTATTGAGCAGTCAATTGTTTTGCGCACTTGAAAATTCATACGTACGCCATTGAGAATCCACGAATTTTACGATGAGTTGGTTCGCTCGCGAGTGAAAATATCTCTGCGAGTGTATACGAGCGCGCGAAGCTTTATCCGAAGAAAAATAAACAGCTCGACGGATAATGAGCCGCGGACCGCTTACGAAGTACACCCGCGCAATGGCCATTTTCGCAATCGACGCGCGCTCATTTAATAACCGCGTGGCTATCAAACTAAAAAAATTATTTTTTTTATTCGACAGTTAATTACCCGTGTGTTAATAATTTTTTCTTCAATTGCGCAAATGACGATGGAAAAACAGAATATAAACGACACATCCGGTTATAAATCCACAATGGAATGTTTTCTTTCTTACTTAATGAATTGGCGGGAGCTTGACAATAAGCTCCGGTTAATGATTTGTGGAAATAAATTTGGAAACGTGGTTGTTGGTGTCAACGTTGTTGTTGTTGTTTAATTCAAGTAAAAAAGGTGTGATAATGAAAAAACGTAGCTAATGTTAATAACTTGAAGTACACAGGATACAATCAACTTTTTCGCTATTGATCCAATTAGTGTGTTTGAACAGGTTCCAAATGAAACTTACATTTTCAGTGTAGTGAACAACTTTGAAATTAAACTGACATATATTCATTTTTATCACAACTTTCTTTTTAAATAATCCATTTCAAAACCGACAATTCCAAACCGCAATATTAAGATGCTGTCAATGTCGAAAAAAATACATAAAAGTGACAGAAAAGCAATATTTTGTTCTTTGAAAAAAACGGACTCAAGATTTACGAGACAAGCTTTGGAATTTTGACATCAGAAGTGCAGTAACTAAAAACCACAAACAACACGAGAAGAAAATAACGCGTATATATTTTTCCTCGTGCAGTCTGCTGTCAAAGCCACTGTACGTTGCAAAGTAATTCGGCAGGTTCTCAATTATACCTCCTTAAAATTCTCCAGATCCATTCGTATTCGCGCGTGCGCACACACACACGTACAGACAAAACTGACTAAAAAAAAAAGAAAAAGAAAAAGAAAAAGAAAAAAAACGCAAGCGGCAAGTTAGCAAACGCACTAATTAATAATGAAAAAGG